TATATCTAGCTAGACCGTACGCAAGGTTTTTTCGTATTTTGTGTCACTATGATCTTGAGAATCGAAAATCTAAAAAAATACCCGTTCATGCGTGAGATGAAAGCAACGAGATTGAACCGAAACCTCCCTTTTTTTTCATTCAATTTTTGTTAGGATGTCTTGTTCACATGTCAATAACGTCCAAAAAAGACGAATTTTTGAGCAGCTTAATTATTTTTTAAGTTCGAGATAATTAAAACAAAAATTAGGCGCCATTCTTTTTGCTTGAATATGAAACAGCTGCAAGTGCAGCTGATAAAAGATGATAAATCATACAGATAATTAAAAAAAATTGGCCGATAGTTTTCTTTAGATGATCATATATAGCATTTAAAAAGACGAATCTTTGAAGAGTTTAATATTTTTCATGCTTCTAGGTTGTGGATGTGGGTGTGTGGGTGTAGATGAGAAGAAGACCCACAATCACACCCTACACCCACACCCATACCCTGACACCCACACCCACACCCAACCTAAAAATTTTTTTATTGGGTAGGGTGTGGATATGATGCAAGGGAAGATCAATACTAACACTCCGTACCCACATACACATCTAAACCCACACCCTAATGATGATCCTCGTATTACAATTGACGAGTTATGAGTGTAAACCAATCTGAATCATGGTAGCACTCAACGAATAAATCACCGATGATCGTAATCTTGAAAAAAATATGGCTGGACGTGTATCGTGAGAGCTGATCTTGAAAATGATCATGAAAGATATAGTCTGAGTTATATATCTGGTAGATAGCTCTTCGTTTTCAACGACTTTTCAACCTTCACGAAACTATTCATATCATGTTTCAACGGTTTTAAGAAGTGAAATTTGACTTTCGAAAACAAAATATAGTTTATCATGAATGCCTTTCGCTTGAAATATATAGTACGATCTTGGATTTACTGTAGAAGCAAAAATTTTCATTAGGTAATAAAAGCAGAGATGAATAGTTTTGATCGAAATTTTTATATTTATTACACCCCTGAAGAATGGTGAAATATTATACAATTATAGAGCACTGTTAGACATCAAAATGAATCAACTAGTAAATAATTTTAGTAAAAAATATCGCAAAGAACTACATAAATGCTGTGCGAAGAAATCTTAATTGTCAAAAATGGAATTTAAACTAACATAAGCACGATAAATGATTTCACTTAGAGTCGATTCTATCGAACTAGCTTATATGAAGTGTTCAGGTAGTGAATTCAAGGACATTCACAAGTGTTGGGAAATATCCATATCTAGTATCTAAGTTTTTCCTAACATGATATGTTGGAATTTTCCCATCGTGTTATCTTATATTATATATGGTCACGTTTGTTCTATCCTGGTGGTTGTTAGATGTTACATTCGTAGTCTTGTTCTTTAACCGCTCTTCATTGTATCTCCTCTTCTACTATTATTCTTCTTTTTGTCATCATAATCAAGGTATCACTAATAAACGAAACTCACATATACACAAAATTTACAAATGATGCAACATTTTTTGATCAACTCTTTCCATGATATATGGAATTTTCAAAGTATGTGTCCTCTTCATAGTTAGTATACGTAGCCAGTATGAACTCTTTTTATATTAGACCTAATTCACTAAGGTCTACAAAATGCCCAAAGTTCCGGTCGTAGAGTGTACCGATGATTTGGACTGTTCTCTTGTTAGTTAATCACAAACCGAGTGGAATCATTTTTCATATCGTCAACAGAGATACAACTTGGTCTATCTTTATCGAAAATGGTTTTATGCTCGACTTTTTATTTACTCAAAAATATAAACCTCGATACAAAATGCTAATTGTAAATATCAACAAAACTATTTAAAAATCTTCTTTCTAAATGATTTTTATTCGTATCCATCTGTCGATTCTTTCAAATCATCTGTTTTCAATTCAACCTCATCACTAAAATAAAGTTTGCCAGGAAAATCATTAAAAAAATCTTGATGACATAAAGGATGTTCAGATGGTGACGGTGGTGATGGTGTTGGATGTTCTTGAATAGGTTCAAGTGTAATACTATTCGTACTACTACGTCGACGTGCACGTCGAAATCGTTCTAATGCTGAACGTGTAATACGTCGTGTTAGTCGATGTGCTAATTCTTGTTCTGTTTCTCCTAGATTAGGATTTTCATCTTGAGCTATTGCTGCGGCTGATGATGTCTAATAGAAAAATAAAAATCAATTTGATTATGCTAAAAATAAAATTATTTATCATATACTTTATCAGAAGCTAAATATGAATATTTTTTTAATAGATCAAAACATGTTTGTAATTTTTCTGCTTCTTCTTTTTCACAATTTGTTCCTTTTTCTTGAATTAATTGTTCAACAAATTGAATAGCATTTAAATGTTGATCAAGTTGAAGAAAAAGAAGTACTAATTCATCTGCTTGTATATATTTTTTAGGTGCATAATTCACTATATCGACAGCAAATTTAACAGATGGATATTGATTAAATAGTTTTATAAGTAAGTCTTGCATTGATGGAATTGAATCAGCAACAGATATGAGATAATCCAAACATCGTTTCGATGAATCTAATAGAAGATTATATATTATGACAGGGCAGAACAAATCCAAGTCATTCATGAAAAGAAAAAGGCAAATTATTCAACTTGCTAGAAAAATCATGCGTTATCTTGCCACATCAATATCAGTTGAAAATATGTTTTTTGAAAGAGGCTTTTTTTTTTGATGAGATCGGATCGTTCAAAATTTTCACCAGCTAATATTTGCATTTTAACGTCTTTGAAGTGCAATAAGACAATAGTTTAAATATAGAGCCATCAAGCGTTTACTATAACTTCATCTAACATCATTTTTTCGTACATTTATTTTATGGAGATTTTGAGTCAGAGAATGATTATTTCTTTAATTTACCTGTTTGTAAAAGACATGAAGCAACTTCATAATAAGCATCAACCTTGCGATAGATAAATTCCGCTAAATCTAAAACATTTGATCGTTCAACAAGTTGAGCCATTTCAAAAGAACAGGTCAATCTATAATAGATAAAACACAGAAGACCTTTCCCATCTATTTTATTTTGTTTTGAAGAAAAAAACATCAATCAACCTTTCTTCAGCTATCCATTTATAAAGAAGTTCAAGATGATTTTCACTACATGCTGCTTTAGCACATTCTAATGAGATGATCACATCAGGTATAAATGGTGCTTCAAGAGCTGTTTCAGCTAATACTTTACAATGAAATAACCATGGACTGATATCTTCATTTGGTGGTTTTTTAAGTGCTAAATTCGAAAAACAAATATGACTTATATTTACTATTTTTATTTGTTGTATTTTACCTTTAAATTTCAATAATGTTTCCATATTTCTTAATACTCCTTTGGGACTACATGCTGCTACATAAGATGCATCTTTATAATTTCCTTTTTCTATCATATCCATAAAAATTTCAATGTGATCTAATAACATTCCTGCTTCTTTATCAAAAAATGATCCACTATCAAGATCATCATCATCATTTTCACCTAGCAAAAATAATCAATAGTTAGATTTCTTGGTTCTTTTTTGTTTAACAAAAAAAAAGAAAAGGACAAAAACTATACTTTTTGGAAAAATATTAGATGATTCATATATTGCATTCATTATAAGATCTTCTAATAATGTTGAATTAATTTTCATTGTTGATGATGTTTCTTTTTCTTCCATGAATTTTTTAATACTTCTCCATGCAAGATGATATAAACGAAGACGATTACGTAATGTTAATCTTTGTTCACGTTGTTTATCTAGATCAGATAGTTTTTGTTCGAATAAATTTTGCATTTCAATGCGTTTTTCTTTTTTTGTATATTTAGTTGAAGCATTTTCTTCAAGACGTGAATGTTTATCTCGAAGAAAATCCCGATATTTTTCTAATTCTTTCAAATTTGTTTCTTCAGCAAATGTTAAACCTATCAATAGAAATTGATAGAATATTAATAATAAACAATAGAAGAGTTTTATTTGAACCTGGTATGCGTCGATGACCAGTACGTAGTTGTGAAGAAGTATCAGTATTCTGAATAATTTCTTTAGCTGACGTTGTTTCCTCATTTTCTATTTGAGCTAATACTTCAGCAATTTCTCGTTCAACTTGTTTATTTTCTTGTTCTATAATTGCAAGTCTGTTAACAAAATTTAACAAGGTGTTGTTCGGATGTCTTATTTAACATACTTATCTTCGAGTTCCATACATCGTTTTTGTCGAAGTAAAAATGTTTTTGGTTGTAAAACAAGATGATGAAGATCCGTACTCATTGCTTCTACTTCTTCGGCACCAGATTCCAATGTAGCGATACATTCTTCATATTCTTGTTTTATGGCTCGAAATAATGGTCGATAAAGAGATGATTTCTCAATGATCTTTATAATAAAAACAAAATAAATTATGATAAAATCAATAAAAAAAAGAATTTTACTTTTTCAAAAGCTAATCGAAAAACTGCAAAACGTTCTTTCGATGGATTTCCACCAACTTTAGCTGATTCATCGATCATAAAACGATTCAATTGATTAAAGAAATTACGATCTCGTGACGTTAATGGTACACTATCAGTTGATTTTACATCGGATAAATCAATATCCATGATTGCTTATTATTGATATAAAAATTTAAAAAACAGACATTCAAACAATCTTTATGAAATTCTGCCATTCACATCATTTGATTGGAAGAGGTCTCTCAGCAACAATATAATCAAAGACTTATAATCAATAAAATTATGCATAGATTTTTCTAAAATGATGAATGTCTTTCAAATCAAAAGTATTTTTATTAAAATAGAATTGAAAAAAATTAGTGACATCTGAAGAAAAACAACTGATTGGAGATTGAATGTGCCATCTTCTATTGACATATGATTCAGATAGACACAAGTTATCGTCAACACGTAGTCTTCCATAATATTATTAATACCTGTTGCTTTTATTGAAAAACTTTACTAACAATGTCTAGCTGGTGGAATAAAACAAGTGCTAGTAATTTTACTCGTGGTTTAACTTCAATAACTGGACAATTATCAAGTAACCTTAAAGATATTTTAACAGAAGCAAGCGAAGAAAATTATGATCCAACAGCTGAATTAACTCGAGCTCGACAACAAATTGAAGATCTTGAATTACGAAAACAAGCATTAATGGAAGAAGTATTAATGAAAATGAATTTTCTTTTTTCTTTTTACCTTACTACTTAATATGAATATTTTCTATTTAGTGTACATCATTAAAAAAACAATGTGATGAACTTACTATGCAAAAACAAGCAGTAGAAATTAAATCTGATATGTTATTAGCTGAAAGTCGTCGAGTTATCGATGAAAAAGACGTAAGTTTATAATAATTATTATTGATGACAATGAAATATTTCTATTCAGACTTTTTTGTTGCCTTTATGTAATCTTGCATCTTTAATTATAGAGGACAGTACGACAACAGTTCGAAATCTGTAGCTAAAATGAAAAAAATTCCACAAAGAGAAACTTTTTCGTACCATCATTTCAGAAAATATTTAACAGGAATAAACCAAGACATGAAAATTTTCATGTTAGATATTATCTACTTTTCTTATAAAATACCACTAGTATTGTCTCAAACTGCAATGGAAGCATCGAAGATACAGATGAGAATTATAAGGATTTGAAACTGTGAATGAGTGTGAGTAGCATGACGAAGTTTGCTAACTTGTAACCTTCTTTTTGACAGTGTCATAACAACGTATGACAAACAATTTGTCATGTGTATGAGGAAAAAAAACAAAGACTAACGTAAACAACCATACAATCGTACGAAATGCTCTAATACTATTCATATTTGGAAGATATAACAAAGACACACAAAATGGAATAGAGAACATGTACATGTCCAAGAAGAGATCTATTGAATAATGAAAGAAATTAAACAAAAATTAGTTAAAATATTCTTTGTTTAGAAACCAATCATGCAATTTGTGCATGAAATTTGAATTTTCATTTCTCTTCTATTCTATGTATTTAGATATACATAGGTACATTCTGCAGATATTTAGTATAAAATATATCTCCGAATTTCACAGATAATATCATCTTACTTCTCAGTTAGACTAGCATTATCAATTCATCAAAACCTAAACGATATGATATTGAAGCATTTACAACGAAGAACTTGACAATGTTTTTGTATTTAACACTTTTACCATAGACAATTAGAAACTGAATGACTAATATTCAGTTTTTATTGATAACCATGAATTCAATATTATTAATGTCTTCTTAGATATATTATCATTAATTTTACGATAAATATTAGTATTCATTTCACCATTCAATATAAGAAATATACTCTCTGAACAAAAATTAGATAGATTTTACTAGTAGAGTCGTCTGTCACTCGAGTCAGAACTTTTTTCAATCTAAATTTTAAAAAAAAGTGTAGTTAGTTAACTGTAGGTATCGAATGTTGCCATAGACTCTAACTCTACGACGTCAACTCATCAATCATTTTGCTTATGTTAATTATTATTTTGTTATATTTAGAATGAATTAAAACGACTCCGAGAAACTGCAAGTGCTGTGACATGGAATAATCCGAACGATTTAAATAATACTTGGACTGATATTCTTGAAGGTTAGATTTTAAAGTTAAGTATAATTTATAATTATTTAAATATTCTTTATAGATGATCAACCTGAAATTAATGAATATCTTAAATATCAACGAACAATACGTGAATTAAAAGATGAAAATAGTCATTTACGAGATGAAATGGCAAATTTACGAAAATCATTGAAATCACAATCATCTGAAAAAAATCAAGTATAGTATTATATAATTATTTTCTTTTAGAAAATAAAAATAAAGATTTTCTTTTTTCTTCTTGTCTGTTAAACTTTAGTATCGACGAGAAGATGATATAATTCAAATTGAGCAAATGTATTCTGCACAAATATCTAAATGTCGTCAAGAATATGATGAACAAATTCATAAATTACAATTACGTATTAAAGAACTTGAAGATTGGAATGAAAATCATCAAGGTTTGATTTTAATTTAAAAGATTTTCTTTTTAAACTTGATTTCTTTTATAATATAGAAGATGAATTAAGAAAAACAATGGAAGTACAAAAAGAAGTTGTATGTTTAACAATTAGTTCAATTAGAAAAAACAAAAAAAAACTGATTTATTTATTTTTTTTTCAATAGGATGAAGTTGATAAAGATCTACTTTCACAAGAACTTGAACAAGCAAATAATAAATTAAATTGGTATAGTGAAAAATTAAAAGAATATATTAATTTAGAAACAAATATGGATTCATTAATATTACAAAATAAACAATTAGAAAATGATTTAGAATTAGAAAAACAAAATAATAAATCAAATTTAGAACGTATTAATCAATTAGAACAAAATATTGTTCAATTAGATTCGAATAAAAATCATCAAGAACAACAAAGTAGAAAATATTTATTATTTATTTTCATTTATTTATTTATTGATTTAATATTTTAGCTGATAATAATAATGATAATGATTTAAATCGTCTTCTTACTGAAGAACGACAACGTTGTGATGCTCTTGCAGTTGATAATGATTCAATGTTTCATCTTCTTGAAGAAACTCGTTTACAAAATTTACAAATTGAAAATAATTTGAAAGAAAAATTTCAAGATGATATTCAAAATAAAGAAAAACAAATTGAACAATTAACTTTTCAAATAAATTCTCTGCAAGATCAATTACAAAAACAAATTAATCTTCAAGTCAGATATTTATCATAATCAATTATTTATATTTATTTATTTATTTATTTTGTCTTTAGAAAAATGAACAAGAAACTTTAGATAGACAAATTAACAATGTTCGAGAAGAAATTCAAACGAAACAAAAACAAATTGATATGGAGGTTAACAATTAATATTAATCTTTTATCAGACATATTCTATTGTTTGTCTTTTTCTGTTTCTTTTTTTAGAAAAGTGAACATGAAAAACAGATAAATCAATTAAATGAAGAAAAGAATCATTTAATAGTTCAAATAAATAATCTTCAACAATTTAAAGATGAACAATTGGCAAAACAAAGCGAAGTTAGTAAAGAAAAAGCTGATTTTTGAAATTTTTCTGTTTTATTTATTTGTTTAATAGGAAGACGAAAACCGTTTAAAAGAATTTCATGTACGAGAAATGCTTGAAAGACAATTAATTGAACTTAATGAAGATTTACAAACAATAGAAAATGAGAAAAATGAACTTAATAATCAAATTGATGAACTTAAAGAGCAATTACAATTAAAAGATAGACAAATTCAAACAGCTGAAGTTAGTAAACACATTTTAATAATATTATCTTATATTAATAGAAGTTCTCATATTTGACTTTGTTTTTTTTTGAATGATGTTGAATTATTAAATTATACTTAAAAATATCATAAAATATATAAAAATACAGATATATTGAGTTTAATTTAAGGATGTACAGTTTCAGTTTACTGAATATTGACTCAGCGCAGACATTACACATAAATACAACTAGTAATAGAAAAATTTTATATTATTTAGAATTTAGCAACAACACCTGGTTCACCAGCAGCTCTATCTTCATCACCAGATATACGAAATCGTTCTCCATCTCCTCAAACATTTGAACATTTACTTGAATTAGAAGCTCAAATACTTCGAAATGAACAACAATTTCGTGAACTGAATGCTGTTTATGATCGTTTTATAACTTTATTACCAATTGAAATTTCATCATCAGATAATAATCAAATATCATTATCAGATAGATTTTTACATTTATTCGAACAATGGTCAACATATGTTGATACACTTTCAATAACACAACAAGAACTTGAATCACTTAAACATTTACTTATTGAAAAACAAGATGATCTTGAAAAACTGCAATTTGATTTAGATTTAACAACAACAAAATTAATTGAATTGCAACAACAACAACAACAACAACCATCATTATTAACACATGAAAATAGATCTTTTCATCATAAGGAAGAAGAAAATGAAGAAGAAATTGAACATATTCTTGAACTTCATCCATTTCCTCAACGTGCACCATCAAGACAATCACTTATATCGAGTACACCGGGTGAAAAACAACAATTAATAGCACAAAATGAACTTCTTTCATCATTATTAGCTGAAAAAGATCGTGAATTAATATCATTACAACAAGCTGAAAAAACACGTGAAGATTTAATGAAAAATTTAGAAACATTAAGAATTAATTTACAACAATTGGAACTTGATAAAGAAATAAAACAAGTTGAATTAAATGATATAAGAAATGTACTTGATGAAAAATTAAGAGAAAATTCTTCATTAAAAAAAGAAAAAATGAATTTTATTGAAAAACTTTCAGAAATCGAACGTAACAGACAAGAACAACAATCAATGATTCAAATTTCACATAGACAATCATCACAAGAAGATGACAAATCATCTACACCAACAACACCCATTGAAAAAGATAAACATACTGTAAGTCAAATATTCATTTCATGATGCAATAAAATAAAAATAGTCAATCATATTATTAATAATTCTTGATGAAATACAAAATAGCACATTAACGGATGATTCTAAAGTTCAACATTAATTTTATTTTCAATAGAGTAGGATAACCACTCATTACGGAGACTCGATAGTTTTCTTGTTAGAAAGAAAGATTTCAGCAATAACCTTCGTATCACAGGTTATGGGCTTCTCGAGTACGAGTATGTATTCGTACCTGTTAGAAAGCGTTTCTGGGCACTTTTTTTTGCTTACTTTGTTCTCAGAGCGGAGCTGAGCATCGTATTCTCAGAATGTATAAGCTGCAATTGACTATGGAGTGAACTTAACGAAATATTTTGATTGTATTCATACTTCAACTTTTTATCATTTCGAAAGAATATTATTTCATATATAAAAAGCAGATTATAATCGATTAAAAGATAATATGTTGCGAGAGTTCATATTAAACGAAAATAAATTAGAATCATTATTATATACATTTATTCTAATGCAATCAGTCGAAAAAATGAAATCATAATTATTACATAGATCATACATGTTCTAAAAGATTCATGTTTACATATGGTAAATGATTTCAATTAACTTTTTGTGAAACAAAAAAAGGTGTTAGGAAAGCAAACTATTTTGTTCTATTCTGACAACATTCTCTAGTATTTGCTCAGGTCTATTACTAAAATTTTGTTTTTTTTTTGTTTAGTTTGAACAAGTTCATACACAAGAAGAATATGAAAAACTTCGTTCTGAATATGATCAATTAGTAGAATTTTCTAAACGACAACATGATGAATCTTTATCATATTACAATGAATATTCACGTATTCTTGCACTTCATAATGAACTTAATATAAAATATAGTCAATTACAAATTGATAATGAATCTGTTCAATCGTTAATTCAACAAAAAAATGAAGCTTATTTACAATGTCAAAATGAATTAAATAATTATCAAAATTTATTATATCATGAAAAGAAAAAATCTGAAGAAATTGATTTATTACGTTCAACATTAATTGAACGTGATACTAAAGTTCAACAATTAATTGATAATGAAACAAAACTTCTTGTTAAACAATCTGAATTAGAACGTGATATTAAAATATTAGAGCAAAATAATTTTGAATTAAAATCAACTGAACAATCATTTATTGAACAATTTCAACAAATGAATATTGAACAAATACAATTAGAATTAAAATATATTACAAATGAACGTGATTCAGCTATTGTTGCAAGAAAACAATTAGAAAATGACATCGAATTAAATAGACAAAAAGTGAGATTATACTTTGTTTTGTTTTTTTTTTATTCTTGAAGAAATAAAAATGTTTATTTTATTTTTCTTTTTAATAGTTTTTACAATATGAAGAACGTGAACGAAAATTAATAAATGAAATCGAACGATTACGTACACATTTATTAAAAATGGAAGAATCATATACAACAGATTTAATTGCTGCTGAAGATCGAGAAAAATTATTAAGAAATCAAATAGCACAATTAGATGATACAAATCGTGCACAAAATGAACTTATACAACAACTTAATATAAGTGGTGAACAATCAAAACAAGCATTAGCTACTGAATTAGGTACATTAAAATATGAATATAGTAAAATTGAAGCATTTAATACAAATTTAAATAATCAATTACAATATCAAATGAAATGTTCACAAAATTTACAAAATGTTCTTGAACAATTTAAACGAGGTAAATTAATTTTATTCTCAATTTTAAATAGATGAATATAGTCAAAATTAATCGTTTTTTTTTTTCGTAAACAACAGAGTTGTCGAACACATAAACAAAGTATCACTGAATTGAAAAAGTTATAAAAGTCTAAGAATGAGAATATTAGAGGTCATATGAATGGTGCAAGATGTTTCACACTGATTAGCAGTGCTAGAAAATCATATGGAATTTTTCTCTAGTATTTTCATGTCAAACTTTCTTTGCTCATCCGAATATGTGTACAAATGAATAATATCACATTTAAAAAACAATTTCAGTAAATTAACTATTTTGTTGACATAAAATCTTCTTCTATTGCCGAATATATTTTTAAGTTTTCCTTCCGAAGTAAGATTAAACAACTCTCAATAAATTTTTTTTTGAAAAAGTTCAAGATTGTATCTTTGAATAGCTTCAACTCAATATTATTGTAGAATATGAATTCTGTACGAAATGAAATATTACAATAAAGTAAAATCTTTTCTATAGAAATTAACATTGATTGAAAAGATGATTGTTTCAAAAATACAAAATTTTTAAAAATTATCATGAAATTGTTAATAGTACGCTTTGTAGAGCATACTGAGTCATTGAAGAACTGTTTCAAATTTTTAGTTTGATAGATTTCAATCGAAATACAAAAATTGACTAACATAGAATTTTGTATAACCATTATTTTTGACTTTTTTATATAATTTATCGTTAAATGACCGAAGGTTATATTCTAACATTTTCATGCCATTGATTATATGATCGAACGATTAATCACTATCCTTCTATCTGTTTTTATGATTCGACTTAAGTAATTATTTGATTTTATTTAATTTTAGAACGTGAACAACATATCAATGAACATTTACGACAATATCAAGATGCATTACGTGAACAAACTACGCTAGCAAATCGTCTAACAAATGAAAATAATGAAATTCGTAATCGTTTAGCTGAATATAATGAGGCATTATCTGCTGCTCATCGTTTAAATGATCAAATAGAAAAAAAAGATTTATTAATAAATACACTTCGTAATGAAATTCATGATAAAGATAAAAAAATTCAACAATATGAATATAATTTACGTGATTTACAATCAACAAGTGGTTCGCGTGTTGAAAAACAACTTGTGAAAAATATACTTTTATCTTATTTTCATACACCTGTTAATAAACGACAAGAAGTTATTCCACTTTTAGGTGCATTAGTTGGTTTTACACAAGATGAATATAAAAAAGCTATTGATGCTGCATCAACTAATCAAAGTAATAGTCCAAAAGGTGGATCAAGTTGGCTAACAGGTTGGCTAGCTGGAAACTCAGCAGGAGGAGGAGGAGCTAATTCAGCAAGAGCAAGAACACAATCCGAAACTCCAGTTTATGATCCGAATAAAGTAATTCAACAAAATAAAATTTTATTTTTTAAAAATTTGTTTATTTATTTTCATTTTTTAGTCATTTACTGAATTATTAATTCAATATGTTGATCAACAATCAACTAATAATCTTCAACAACCAACAGCAAAATTTAATACTGATGAATATCTTCATCGACATGATAGTAATGTAGGTGGTGGTGGTCATCATCTTACAAGAAAATCATCATTATCTACATCACAAAATCCTTTTGTTAATTCTTCACATTTACATCTTAATAAACAATCATCTGCGATTGTTTTACCAACTTCGAATACATCACAAAATATAACTACTATTAATCTACCTCCTCTTCCATCATCATCGTCAACAGCAACAACAACAACAACAACGGCAACAACAGCAAATCTAGAATCATCATCAACTATTCTCAAAGACTTGTTAAAAGCTTGACTTACTTATTCGTGAAAATTTGTTCATGTCTATTTTTTAATTATTTATTTATTTGTTTCGGAATTAGATATTGTCTCTTGTTTATAAATATTTGTGTTTTTTCTTTCTCACTTTATTTGCTTTCGGTCATTTTTCTTTTCTTATTATTCGTTATCTTGTTTTTTTTTTTCTTATAACAATCGGCCTTGGTACGATGAGTTTCTTTTTCTTTCTTTTAGATTTTTATTCTTGAACACATTACAAAAGAAAACAGAAATCATGGTACAATATAAATTTGTAATTTTTCTTTGAAAAATTTAAATATTTATTTAAGGCTTATCATTCTTCATTTGCCAATAGCAAATTTCGATTAGGAAATATGGCTTTATTACCTATTCGAACGCGTTACAGTGGACCAGCTCCAACTGAAACATGTAAGATATAAGTTGAATATTTATCAATGCTGAGTAAATCGAGAAACATAGGGATATACTTGCAAATATGATCATTAAGATCAGTGCATACACAATAAACGGATGGTGAGAACATATTGTGATTGTTTTTCTCTATGTGTCCCCATGATTTTGGTAGCATGTAGTTTTCTATCATTGCATGTTTATGAAATGTTTTCACCGGCTTTACCACTATTGTCTCAAAACGATTGTCTAAAAGCACTTTTTTGCGAGAAAATAATTCGAGAAGATCAAAGAACTTTAACAAAGAACAAGCTGTAAGCACATTCATTATGGTATTAAAATATGCAACACGATATATATTAATTCTCGAGAAATGTAATAAACAAGTAGTTCATATACTACAATCAAATTTTATTGATATATGGTCTACGATCGTATATTAACAATATCTGTCAAGTCTATAGAAGAAAAATAGGTGGATCCAAATTTCTACCCTTATATTTCGATACTCTGTTAATTTCTTAAAGATCAAGTTACTGTGGAATGAATTCAGAGTCTTTTAAAACACTTTCAATGAAGATTCAACAAGAGTATGAAAAGTTGAATAGAATAAAATGAAAACGCAAATAACAAACTTCGTTCTATATTTTTCTATAGTCACATATGATTATACTGTGAGGCAAGAACGATCTTTCAATTTATAGTGAATATCATTCTTCGAATCATTACTATCGAGTGACAGATACAATAGTCCGATATCTTCTCTATAACTGTGACCAGTTGTAGCTCTAGACAGAAAACTAGCTCGATGCAGAGTTCTTGTGTTCCTCATACATAGTAACTGGCCATAGAAGCAGGCGTATGCCTCGATTTAGTTAGCATTTTATCGAAGCGATCTTCGAAACAAATAACCGCTTGTTTCTTGTTCAGGATCATTCTATGGCTTTAGTGATGAAATTCGCACGTTGCAGCTTAAAAACGATAAAATCATGACTCAATTGAGAATATAATGCAAAATATTCTCAAAAGTTCATTTCTATCCTTTTTCTAGTTTACGTGAAAACTAACGTATATTTTATTAATTCTAATTGAATATTTTTTATTCTCTAGCTACTGACAATGAAGATATTATTGATGAGGCAATTAAATTTTTTCGTGCGAATATTTTCTTTCGTAATTATGATATTAAAGTAAGTTAAATCTATTATTTGATTTAATTATTAAATAATTTTTATTAATAAAGCATGATGCCGATCGAACATTGATTTATTTAACATTGTATATAACAGAATGTTTAAGACGTCTTCAAAAGGTATACTTCAATTTTTTGTGTATTTTAAATCCAACAAATAAATTATATTAAGTGTCAATCACGTATTCAAGCACAAAAAGAATTATCAGCATTGGCTATATCAACATTTCCCATTCCAGGTGATTCAGATTTTCCTCTTAATGGCATGTTTTCAAAACCATCACCTGATGAAGTTGGTAAGCTTTCTTGTTAATTATTTCATGAAAAAAATTTGATCAATCCTAAATTCGGTTTCATTCGATGTTATATCATATAGATCTATTCTCAATTCAAGCATGATTTATAAAATAAAATGAGATAATAAGCTTTCACTTATCTTCATAATTAATCATTGAATGAATTTCATTCTCGAATAGTCATTAGTTGATCAGATCCTATATTATTAATCAGTTTAAACCGATATCAGTGATCATTGTCAAGAGACGTATTAATTACGGAAAACAAGTAATAAGTAGTATGTAATGAATTTATAATTTATTATTAAGGTTTACAATCAACTATTCATTGAAGTAAAGTCATAAAATGAAAATTTCTTTGGAAAACAAAAGTAAACAACTTAAATGTGAACATAACCTTTGTATTTTTCTGGTCATGTTTAATTATACAAATTATTTTCGTTTATATTAAATATAATCATAACTCATTATAATTGAGAATATTAGGATTGAACTGATAAAACCATCGAATAGGATCAGCTAGTGAGCAAACCAAAAATTTAGATATTTTCTTTTAGAAAAAATGAAACAATATCTTGAACAATTACGTAAAGAATGTAGTGATCGTATGGTTGAACACGTCATTGATCCCGAAACGGATAAACCATCCAAAGTAAACAAGAATAAATTTTCAATTTAAATAATCCAAAATTTATATGTTCAAATTTTAGTGGTGGCTTTGTTTTGTTCGTCGTCGTTTCATGGATAAAAGTTTATTAAATATAGGTACATTATAATTTACAAAAAAAAACGAAGAAAATTAGTCCGAATTTATTACTAAGAAGCTTCAAAAATCAAACTTCTTTTTCTTTATGTGCCTTTTTCTTCTTCTTCCGCAATCCATTCAACTATCTATTTGTTATTTCTTCTTTTTTATTTACTCATCTTTCATTTTTGTTCGCTAATAGAAAATAAAAAAAAAAAAAAAAAAACATTGATTTCATCTAAATCGATCATGTTAGATAAGCAAATGATTTTTTTCTATTTGATAATCAATATTAAATTGAATTGTTGTTGAACGTATATGTCCTTCATCTGACCATTTATAATAAATACCTTTTTGTAATTGTTCATTTTGATTTCTATGTGAAGAAAATATTAATTGAAGTAAACAATTATCTCCTCGTATATTTAGTTTTAATGAACGTTCTTCAATATAATAAACTAATATAATTGGTTTTATTTGTGGCATTACAATACGAGCTGTATAAGGTAAACGTTTACATGAATGAAATTCAATAAGATTAGCTGTTATTTGTTCAGTTTTATTTGTTGGTAAACGTATATTTAAATACATTTGTTTTATATTACGCATCCAATAAAATTTACGTGGTTGACGTACACGTAAATAATGATTTATACGCATTGATTCACGATTAATATTTGTTGAATTTGAAAATGATGAAACTGATAAAAGTGTACAATTTAAAACAATTGGTATATGACATATATCAACTAGATATGAAAGACATTGATCTAAATATATTTCTTCATTATCTGCTAATGGAATATCAGGTTCAATTGATATAGTTAAATATTCTTTCAAATTATTTGATGAAACATTAGTTGAATTACATTTCTCATTGTTCATTCATTCAAAATAAATTAAAACAAAAAACAAAAAACAACAATGAATTTCGTTTTAACTACGCGCTGTCACATTGAATTTCAGTTATATTTCATTTTTCGAACTTGTGCTTATCAGTTAACCGTTCTCGAGATTTTCTATATAGACGATATAATTCGTTCATTGTGTTTATCGAGGATGAAAAACAAAAGGATGAATAAGATATCGAAATATACATCTAGTATTTCATTCTTCTCTCCTTTGTCTAACATAGTCGTCTTAGTCCGTCGACTAGTTATATTATCATTCGAACTAAACCGTCGTCAAAGTGAACATCATTTCGGCCTAAATATATACGTATATACATTCACAATTGTTTTATTCCATCGATTAGTAACATACAAAATTTAAAAAAATGAGCGGTCGTGGTAATACAACAATGTCTTCGGCTAAAAGCAAAGGTAAAGGTAAAGACAAACAAACGACACGTAGTGGTCGTGCTGGTCTCACATTTCCCGTTGGTCGCGTGGTAAGTTTTTCTTGATTACTATTTATTGTTCGAGTTCTTAATCGGTTTTTTTTGTATAGCATCGTTATCTCAAACAAGGTTCCTATGGAGAACGAATTGGTGAAGGTGCACCAGTATATTTGGGTAAGAATGATCTTCATATTTATCATCGTTCTTATTGTCTTTTCTTTCTATAGCTGCTGTTCTTGAATATTTAACTGCTGAAATTCTTGAATTAGGTTCGTAAGTTGTTTTTTTTATAAAACCAAATTTTCTTTCTATTGAAATATATTTCTAGCTGGAAATGCTGCTCGAGATAATGAAAAAAAACGTATCATACCTCGACATTTACAATTAGCTATTCGAAATGACGAAGAACTTAATAGATTACTTGACGGTGTAACTATTGGTAAATATTATTTGAAGAAAATGTTTATATTTAATTATAAATCTATATTTTGTTAACATAGCACAAGGTGGTGTTTTACCTAATATTCGTTCGGAACTTTTACCCAAAAAAGCAAAAGCTGATGAAGATAATGCTGGTAGTATGGAATCGCAACGTGGTACACAAGGTCATCAAATGATGATGCAATCAGGAGGAGCAATGGCTAATAATGGTATGAAGAAAAAAAGTATGCCACCTGTTAAAAAAAGTCTTGCTCCTGCACCATCTCAAAAAAAATCTAATAAACCTAAACCAATGCAACAACAAAAGCCATCACAACAACAGCAAAAGAATACTACTAGCAATGATGATGATGATGATGAAGATGATGATGACGAATCGGACGATGGGGTAAAACACTAATCATCAAAGGAAAAAAAAATATCATATAAAATAATTCTTCATGTTTTTTTGTTGTACATAGGATGGTGATACGACTGGCAATGGTAACACCGCAACTAGTTCAAGTGCTTTAGCTACTACAACCGCCAATGATACAACTGCCGATGACGACGATGAGGATGACGACGAAGATTGATAATTTCTTATTTCTTTTTTGTTTATTTTTTTTGTTATGTACACACGTTCCTTTTTTTTTCCTTCTTTTCATGTTTTTTGTGAGTGTGTCTAAATGAGTTTATTTATTTATTGTATAAGATTTCTACTTGTATTTATTCATTTAATTTAATTAAGAACAAAAATCAAATAAAAAAAATACGTTGTCTATTAAAGATCATAAGATTATTTTTTTTTGATTTTATTTCCTTTATCTTTTATTTCCTATGAATACCAACAAAACCATAGCAAGCAAATGGAAAAAGGACAAAAAAAAAGAAAAATGGGAAACATGTGTCTGTTATAAACAGATCACTGTACAATTAAAGTTTTCTTTTTTTAACTTAATAATACATTTTCAATATTTTGCTGAGTAGAAGATATATTAACTTGATGATCTAAATTAGATGATGATGAACTGATTGTTTCCTTGATTTTACGTTGAATATATTTGCTTCTATCATTTAGTACTTGAATCTTGATAAATTCATCATAATCAATCTATTTAAGCAAAAGAAAAAATATCAAAAAAAAAAAAACCAAAGTCTTAATAATTCGAAACATACCGGTACACATTTATATCCGAGTGAATTTAATAATCGTAATTGTAATGCTACAGAACCCGAAACAGATTTTGTTAAAAGTGTTTTATCTTGATAATCAAGACATTTAAGTGCAATTCTATTTATAGAAATATATATAATATTATTGTGTTATTTTCTTTATAATCATTAATTAACTTACTTGAAATTATTTTCATCAATACGAATTTTATTAAATGTTGTTTGTCCATTATTATCTCCATTAGTTAAAACAGTATTTAAATCTTGTGGTGTACCTGTTTTATCTACGACCATTAAACAATCTAGAAATAAAATAATGAATATTAAAAAAAAAAAAAAGAAAATAGAATTTATACCAATAACAATCATATTTGATGTAACAACATTAAATTTAGAATATTTATTTTCAGCTGCAAATGTTATAACTGTTTTAGCTAATTGATCTTGTGCATTAGAATCTTTTAATGTTAATTGTTGTGCAAGTTGTTCAATATTAAATGTTGGTTTAGGAAATTTTTTTGAAAATTTTTGTAAACTATATGAATAAATTGTAAGTAATTTAAGTGCACTTGCTATTTTGGAATTTGATATTTCATCTAAACATTTTTTTTTTTGAAAACAAAAAGAAAGAAAGATTAAGTATATCTGATTTGAATATTTTTATACTTTGTACTAGTTGAAATATATCTTGATTAAGAACAGCTGATAGATGATATTGATTTGCTTGATCTAATATAGCAAGTGACCAAACAAGATCAATACGACTTTTTATTTCATTTAATTGATTATTATCATCAGTTATATTTTCATCAAGTTTTAAATGATTTTCAATAATTTTTGATAATGTTGGTGGAGAATAATTGACAGAAGCACATGTACGTATAAATGATTGTATAAATTTATTTTTCGATGATGAAAATAAATTAGATTCTTCTAAAAATATTCTTCCAAAAGCATCAAGTAATTCACAATGACGTAAACGAAGTGTACCCATGGAAGTTACAATAGATTGAAACTAGAAGAAAACAAAAAATGTCATGATCATGATATTTTCGAGATTTTTATTTGCGATTAAACACAATGATTTCAATTGTATTCGTAGGAAAAATGATACACTATTCTACGGTTTATTTACAAGCAAAATATCAGATCAAAAGCTCTTTAAAAAAAGTCATAACTCAAGAAAGAACGTATCTCATCTAATTATGTGCACTGATTAGCAAAAATATTCTCAACAGAATGCTTAAAACTATTTTCTATTGTTGACTATATGTTTGAAATACCTTTTTACTAGAGTACGACCCTTTGCATATTTGATTAGACTTGATCAACAGGTCAAAAAATTCTAGTTACAATCCAAATTCGTTTATTCGTAGTGAGTTGCATATTAAGATTTATATTAGAATTCCACAGAAACAAATTAGTGTTTTCTTGAGATTTTATGGTCCAATAACCCATAAACTTCCGGAAAACCAATCTGATCTTTTTACTCGATTCTCATACTAGATAAAACACTGAAACAAATCTTAAAAGCTACTAAAAGACTGAGTAGAGTATCACAGCATTGATTCTAAAACTGTCTTTTTTTGTTCGATTGATCCATTGAGAAAACAAACACAATAAAAGCGACAAAGCTATAGTGTCATACGATTGTGTTCAAAAAAAAAAATGATACTGTAATGTACTTACTATAAATGGATCATTAATATTATTAATTTGTTCAAATGCATCTCGAATTAATCGTTCTAAAAATGATTTGTCATATACATTTAACATCGCACATGCCAAAAGACAATCTTTTAATTTATCTAATGGAAATAAAAATGATTCACTTAATTTAAGTAAATGATAACAAGCAGCACGTATTATAGTTCTATCACGTCGTTTTAACATAGATTTATTAATTAATATTTTAAACCAATCATCAAATGTTAATGTATCACTTATTTCTAAAATTCTTTCATCTAAACGATTTATTAAACGATCATTATATGATAATTTATGTGTTAATGCTAATATATCACGTATATTATCAAATTCAAAATAACGACCTTCAGCTAAAGCTAATAATCGATTATAAATTCGATGTATCCATTGTGTTGTATGACGAGAAGATTTTAATTCTTCTAATATACGAACAATCTAGAATAAAAAATTTTCAAAAACAAACGTTTAACTAAAAAAAAAAACAAAAAATAGAAATCAAATATATTTACTTGATGAACACTAATACGTCTTACACGATTAGCAAGTGCAAGAGAAAATCTATCAGTAAATTCATTATCTTCAGGATAATATTTTGTAACAAATGTAATAGCTGTTAACACTTCATGATCACTAAATTTGCCTAACTAAAAAACAAAAATCCAAAAAAATCATTCTTTATAAGACATATCTATTTCTTTCTTTTAATTACATACAAAACTAATTAAAAGTGATTCCATACGATTTCGAGAATTATATGATTGGGCATAGACTTGAGTAGCATTGCTATTTTCCATTGATGCTAATTGACACATTTTTTGTAAACCCAATGCAAATTCTGTTGATAAAACATATTTATCGAAAATTAGCATTAAATCTTCTACAGTATCTGCTTCTTTTATGTTTGCTGAAAGCATTGGATCAGAAACTTGACGTTCAGATTGATTCGGGTTAGAAGCCTAAAAAAAATATGGAATTAAAGAAAATTTTGATGTTTAAGAGAGGTATCCTCTTCCCGATACTACATACCCTCAAATTTGATCAATATACAAAAAAGATCTGCAAGTGTCTGTATATTACAACATCTTTCAGGTTGAATAAGATACAATAAAAGTTATGAAATTTGCAAAATTTGCTTATTTGATGTCATAGGAAAAAGAAACTCCTATCAGATTCTCTACTCTTACAATTTCTTCCAAGACAACTTTGTTTATGAAACTTTACTTTTATAGGATGAAATAATTTTCTTTTACAAAGAATGTTGTTCAGCAGGCTGTGAAAAATAAAGGATTTTAAAAATGACTGAAATAGAATTAAAAATTTGATTTTTCTTTTTATAAAGGTTTGTAACTCTGTAAAGAAAAACAAATTTTAATTCTATTTGAGTGATTGTTGCATGTTCTTATTTACATCAAAATTATGATACTCATTAATTGCTCTTACGTTTCTTCAACATAGTGTCAAATGGTCTTATAATTTGGTAATAATATATCTGACGGATAAACATTTGTGTATTCACACTTTTATTCAAAACTAATGATGCTAGAGCGTATAATTATAAACATGTCACAAAACTTCTATTTTTCATGATATGCAGGACTTTACCCTCACACATATCTTGCAAGACTCTGAATTCAGGAAAAACGAAATGTCTTCTAAAAGAATTAAATTTTCCCGAAAGGTATTATAAGTATGGAACATTTAGTAAAGATGACTTTTTTCCGTTGACATCATATAAGCATATTTTACAAACCTTATTCCTTCTATTCGATCTTACCCAATGCAAAAGACATTTCAATATACCGACATTTGAAGGCATGTTTTAGAGGATCCTGCCTTGAAGAAATACTTTCTTACTTCATCAGATTGTTTTGTTAATGATCTTTCTCTTTTTGGTTGTCGTGGTTTTTGCGAATTAATTTTACCAGTAATATCTGTTTTAACTTTTTTTTCAGTGGAAATATATTTTGAACTATCGAATACTGTTTCAACATTGATTTTATTTGTTGTTGCTTTTCGAGATGTTTCTCGGTTTGTTTGCATTCTAACTTGAGTTTGTCGTGCTAACTGTCGTCGTTGTTCTTCAGCTTCATAATCATCTATATTAGATATATCATTTTCATATCGAGTTTTAGTTGATAAACTTGATGCTAATCGTGATGGATCCTCAAATGAAGAAGTATGAAGAATATTAGGTCGACGAGGACTTGTTGGAATTGGAATATCTTTAGATTCTTCTTCGAAAAATAATTTTTTTACATCAACTTTACGTTTTACAGATGATGGAAGTTGACGAGATGTTGACTAAATCATAGAGAATAATCGTTGTAAAATAAAAGGTTTTTCTATGTAGAATTTTCTTACTTTGTCATTAGACGATTGAGGTTGAGCTACTTTCTGATGTTGAGAAAAAGGACGTATCGATCTTAAAAGTGTATTTGTTGTCGATGGATATGAAGACAACATTGTCCGACTATATGAACCAAGAAATCGAAGCATTTTAAGATTGTTAAACGTTGGCACACTTCCAAACAAAAAATGATTGATATCTTAAAGTAAAAAAAGGTAATAAGATAGAATTTTAACACTACTGTATTCAATTGTAAAAGATTTGATTGGATATTATTTCAATCAATGAATAATTATTTTTGATTTTCATTTCTCGATTGGTTGATTAAACATATTTCATCGTCTCTTTACAATGAATTGAATCTCAAGTAACTGTTCGAAAAACCATATTTTGTAAGTCAATATTAAATTTCAGATTACAGATAATGTCTTTGAATAATTATTGTTTATATCAAAAATAGATTTTTTATATGGTTTATCCAAGATTAGTAAAGAGGTTCGATTCAAGATTTTTATTGGTAGTTTGATTTTGACCATTGATCATATTTACAACTGTGCTCGCTTTCATTTTATCCATCTATCAACGATCGTGTCAATTGTTATTTAGATATACCAGTAAGTTAAAAACAAAAGACTTGATGCGACAGATTTTAGTTTAAGTTTTTTTGTCCCTGGAATCTTGATTATATTGCAATGATTGATGCGATTTGACAATATTTTTCTTTCGTTTTTTTTTGTTTTATTATAGAAACAACATTGATACTATGACAAAGCAAACTGTCGTGGATGAATCTCTTCCATCTGTAGATAGTACTGAAGAAAAACAAGGCATTTGGTTAGTAAAATTAACTTTTTTTTGTTTTTTTGCATTCGAGCTATTTAATCAAATAGGGCATCAATATTACGTGATGTTAAATCATCAACAAAAAAAGCACCAGCAACAAAATCACTTGTAGTTCTTGGTGATAATGAAAGTGGTCGTACAACATTAGTAGCTAAATTACAAGGCAATGATGATCCAAAACGAGGTGCTGGCTTAGAATATCATTATATTGATATTAGAGATGATGATCGAGATGGTATTAAATTAATTTATTTTCTAGAAATAATATTTTCTTTTTCTTAAATAATTTTAACAAAATAGATACTCCAAAATTGGGTGTATGGATACTTGATGGTGATGTAACATGTTCATCTCCTTTACTTAAATTTGCAATTAAATCAGATACATTTGAAGATACTGTTATTATTCTTGTTGCTAACATGATACAACCATGGTCATTATTATCAACATTAAAAAAATGGATAATACTTGTTGAAGAACATATTGAACGACTTCAATTAGATTCAACACGTCTACAAGAAATACGTGATCGATTTCAATATGATTTTCAACATTATACAGAACCGAATGATACATCAATAATGATAACATCATCTTCATCATCAACAACAATAAAAAGTGGAATAACTGGTGGTCGTATACCTAGTTCTGTTTCATCAGTTTCATTAGCATCAGGTACAACATCTACAACTTTAAATAATGGTGAAGAACAAATTGTTTTACCATTACCTGAAGGTGTCTTAACAAAATCATTTGGAATTCCAGTTATTGTTGTTATTACAAAAGTATATTCTTATATAAATATCTTATACAATCATTTTTCAATATGTTTATTTATTTTAGTGTGATGTAATGTCAACTCTTGAAAAAGAAAATGATTATAAAGATGAACAGTTTGATTTCATGCAATATCATTTAAGAAAATTTTGTTTAGAATGTATGATTGATAATATTTTTCTTTTGTTTCTTTTTTTTTTGAGTTAATCTATTGATTTAATTTCATTTAGATGGTGCTGCATTATTTTATACATCTGTAAAAGAGAAGAAAAATATTGATAAATTATATAAATATATTCTACATAAATGTTACGGTTATCCGTTTACATTACCTGCTGCGATTGTTGAACGTGATGCTATATTTATACCATCGGGTTGGGATAATCCAAAAAAAGTTGATATTTTATTAGAAAATCTTCATCGACTTAAATCAACCGATAATTATTCTGATGTATTCGTTAAACCTGTTGTTCGACGGGTATTTTATTTATTTTTAATTCCTATATAAATAAATAAATAAATTTTTTTGTGTGTGTTTTTTTTTTCTTTCTTATCTCTATAGCCATTACAACGTGATAATGAAATTGTTGCAGCTGAAGATGATCAAGAATTTTTATCTCGTCTGCAATTAACACTTAATCGAGCTGCATCACCTGGAAGAACTGTAAGTGGTTAGAGTGAGAGAACTGAAAGTTTTCAGTCCTAAAATATTTTTGTATTTTTAACTCTTTTGAAAGTGTTTTGGAGAAGTCAAAAGTTATAGATCAAGACTACCATATGGTGCACTTTTCGAGTATGGACCGAGAAATTTTATTTGAGCTTTTGTTCAAGAGGACGAATAGTCAACCAATAGACTTTTGCTAACCTTGATAAGTGCCTTGTTAAAATGTGCCAAAAGATATTCGAATTGGTTGTTTTATTGAGTGGTATCTTCTTTATAAAGTTTTATATTAACTAAGTCACAATATTATATTTCGTACATTATATTCTATTGTACAAGCTGATGTATTAATAAAGGTGTCAACATTTATTTTTGAGTTGTAAAAATAAAAGTACAAAAATGTGTAGAAAAATTTTCCGCTCAAATTCATTTTGTGGCCTTTTCCAAAAGATCAACTCATAACTCTCAAGACAATATGTAAGTCTAGATTGAGAAAGAGCACAATGATTCTACTCATAGCTCATAGCTTTTGACTCCTCAGACATACTTCAAAGATAATCCAAAATAAATAAACATTCTGTCTAAAAACTTTTTCGCCCATTCGTTACAAGTGTCGAGACGATTTTGTCAAATTTTCATGTTAATTTTCATTTTTTTAGGAGGAAAATGCTACACCTGTACTTACACGAAATGCAATGACATCAGGTGCAAGTAGTGGTATTATTTCACAGACACCATCTATGCCTGGCCGACCGCGAAATCAACCGGTATAATTAATAAATGTATAATTTTTAGTTGATAATACGACAAATTACTTTTTTTTTAAGAATGCTTCCTCGGGTGGTACTAGTGCAGCAGCAAATGAAGGTGCCTTAGCTAATTTCTTTAACAGTCTTTTAACAAGAAAATCTGGTGGTCCAGTAACTCCAACGAATGCTGGTTCACCTGTCACTCAACGTCAAAGTAAGCTATTTGCTCTTCCTTCTCGAGCATCGATTTCGAAAAATTAACAATCTCATAAAAAAAAACTTCATGAATCAAAACAACTATCACAATATCCTAGAACATTTCCTAATATACTTATCCATGACATTTTTAATAGTTGAACAACCAATTATAAGAGATTTGCTGCAATATTCTTCGTGAAAGATGACTTAGTATTACACTCTTAGATCTCAATCATATTAACAAAATAATATTGCAATGAATGAAAACGAGTTGATTATAATTATCAATTATAAACATACAAATCTATGAGTAAGATTGCAGCAGAAATTCTTAGTGAAACGAATAATTCAAGTTTTCGAGCATTTCTTACATCTAAGAATAATTATGCTGTTTTACATAGTGAACCAACTGTCACCACCTGTCAGTATTTGACGAACAATGGTTTGTCCTTTTCTCGTAATATAATTCGGTAATTAAATAAGCAAATTTTCATCATATTCCCAACTGTGAACAATAATAATAATCAAGGCTCTTGAAAGTAAAAAAAACCAAAACCTTCCATTGACAGCTGTTTATTGACAATTTGATGAAGTTTCAAATGTCCAAAACTACAAGCATGTATATTCACTCTCTAACTTATCAAGATTAACGTGTTCTAATATGTAAGAGAATAAAAGCCTTTTTCAACTATCATCAATCTATGAAAAAATCCCTTTATTGTTCTATCAGATTTGACATCATCAGAAAAGCTAATCTTCTATCGTCTACTCTTCTATAAAATTTGATAAATCAGTTTCCGACAGATAAATCTTACATTGACAAAGTGATAGTAGTATGAAGACATATGTTAGAACATTGTAGCAGAGGCTCATTGTTACTTAATCTTTTAGAATTTCAACCGTCTTTTCAGGCTAAACAAATTTCACTTTCTAAATAAATGCTGGTATCGCCAAAGAACAGTCCAAGAAAAAACTCATCATTTGATTATCACAAATCTATTACTTAAATATTTTTCTCAGTATCTATCGTCGATGGACCTAGTTATTACGCACCAACAGTTTCAGACAGCTGCTACATATCCTAGTATCCTTTGTTTTATAACAAATAATGATGAAGGCAATACATTTTAAAAAGATGAATATCATTCTAATGTTGTTCCATACGTGATACATGTGGAATACCATCTTTCTAGTCTCACCCCTGAAAACCAAGCGCAACAGCGGCATATGAAATTAGACCAGATAGATATTTCAAAATTTCTAATGATTGTAAAAACGTTAAGTGAGCAGACATTATTCTCTGCACCATGTATAGTGTGGTGCATTTATGCTCGGGTATAATCATTTGCTTACTTTGCTTTACAATCTTACGTCATTTTAAACACTTATTTTTTGGGAATATCAATGCTTTTTTTTCTGACTATGGATATATTAACTTAGGTTCACTAATATTCTCCTATTTTAGATAGTGACAATATTAGTGTTGATACGACTTCGACGGCTAGCCAAAGTGAGTTTTTTTTATTGACTTTAATAGAAATAATTCTTCTAAATGTCTCGTTTCAGATTCCCAAAAACAACAAGAGCAATCTTAATCACAACCGAATCTTTTTTTTTAAAATTGTTTGTCTCATGCTTCTTAAAAAAAACAATAAAATAAACTATAGATATGGTTCATAGTCTAAATAGAACGATTAATCAAAATCGATTACTCAATCCATTAATATTTGATGCAAAAAAATAGCTTATATGAATGATTCTAATATAAACATAAGAATAGATTAACATTGCATTTGTTTATTGTATTGAGCAGTTAATGGAGCTTTTATAGAAAGACAAAAAAAAATTGATATGAACATTGTTATTCAATGTACTTAAGTTTGAAACAACTATTACAACGAAAAAATTTTGGAATTGTACGATTTTCCAAAATATATGAGATTTATATTATGGTATTCATTCTTCACTTTGATTACCAACTTCTGCCATATATGTTAACCTAACCAAATAGTCCTTATGATACTGAGAAAAGACTAATTGGAATTTTTTGCATTCATGACTGAGCCTATTATCAATGTTTCGATATTATGAAAGAATCTATGAAAAATAATAATCGACGAATAGTACTTCACATTTCCGATCATGAAGCTACTCAATGAAATGGTTGACACAATATCTAAGTTGATGATTTATATCTTCATATGTTTGTAAGGTTAGCACTTGTAATAAAATGAAAGAATGATATTAAACTATGTTTGAACGATGAGCACGTACGTGTTCCTATCATACGAAGAGGATGGTATAACTGATATCTTATATCGGGACATTTTTAATATTGACCTTTCTGTTTGATAAGCCTTTGTTAATAAACGTCATGCAATGATTATATGTTTGCCATTTGAAAAATATTCTATCTAATCTGAGTTTCTAAACCATGTAAAGAGAGAATTAATGCTATGCCAACATTGGAGTTCATAAGAATTTTTCATAGTCATGGATATTATGAAGTTTATTCAATCATCTTGTCCTTCATAATATTATGCCGAATTTGCTACAGATAAATAGAATATGATTTCAACTCTCAATAAGTCTTTTTTGTAATGTATACAAAAATTTCTTTCAATATTTACCTAATATCTTTACAGTTATCGTGCGTCTTATTAAATAGATTACATAAACATAACAGTCTTCTCACTCATTCTCTCCGTGATTAGTTAGTTCTATCTTATTCATTCTGATAACAGAAATATCTTTTTTTTCATGGAATGAGTGATGGATGTCAATAGAAATTTAATACATTCAGATGTTGTAGATTCAAGCTGCATTGATATACATGTAATAAAATTTTCCCCGCCTAGACAAACTTCTCTGTATTAATTGATTTATCTAAAAAAAAATTGACCTTTAATTAGAATGCTTACATTAAAAGATTTCTAGTTTTCAAGATTTCAAGCTGAAAAACCTTAAAAGACAAGAGCCAATCTTATTTCTGAACTTCTGTAATTCTTGTAATCACTTTTTAAATCTGGAAAATTGCTTTTCTTCTGTACAAAAACCTTTTTAGTTAGAAATTATGAAAATAGATTAGTTACAACAAAGGACCTTTCTTAAAACTTTGTACTGTTCAATTTAAAAGGATATCGAATATCTTCAATTGTCAAGAGATGCTTATACAATTCTAACTGTAATATAACACATTTGAAAGGCAAAAATTACAATTTTTCGTAGTAATACACATTCTATAGTTAATTCCAATGGGTGAGTATTATTTATTTGAAAGAAAGACACGAAAGGTTATATATTGAATCAGTAGCTGTTATTTAGATTCCATGGTACAATTGTATGAATAGTAAAAGTGATTTTAATTAGTGGAACACAAACAACATATCTCAGTTGAACATTCAATTGAAGACAACTATTCAAAAAATTGAACTTTTCATAGCAAAAAAAAAGAAAATCAATGATATTTGTGAATATTTTCACAGTATTGATGTTAATAACAATAATTAATAATGAAATCACTAACAAAACGATAAATATTACTTCTTTAATTGTGCTTGTTTATCAATTTGGTTATTAGATAAAAATACTTAATAGTTATATCGAATAAAATTAACATGTTTGTTAATACTAAGTTATTCGATATTATGTTTTATTTTCTTTTTAAACAAATGATAAAAAACAAAGATGAAATACATATATTAGAATTATTCTTGTTGTTAATATTTTCATCCTTGTTTTATTTCGATCGTTCACGCATACGTCTTCGTTTACGTTTGAGTCGTCGCATTCGTTTCTTACGCCACTAAAACGAAAACAATCTTCACTATCATCATCATCATGTTAAACACAATCTTTACCTTGGCTCTCATGATTAATTAATTAATAAAAAATAATATCCAAATAAGGATGTTCCTCTGTTTTGTTTTATAAACAATCTAGAAGGCACTACAAATTCATTTATAGACAAACAAATATATAATTAAATTTTATTGCAAGAAACTATTAGAAAGTGTGAACATAATAACATAACAAAAAAAAAAGTGATCTGGTCTCCAAATAAGTACATCAAAAGAAAAAAGAATGAAACAAAAGAACGCCATCTATGTATATATATATATCCTGTTGTATGTATCATATAATATCACTTTGAAAGTGATTGAATGTATACGTAAATACAATCATAACTATATTAATATACGTATAAAAGACTAACAACAAACTATTTGACTATAAGGAACGAATGTAATGTATGATTAATTATGAGAACAAAAAAAAAACAGAATTTAACTGAGATATATTTAATCTGATCAGTGCCATCTGTTAATCATAAAAGATTATTATGTCTGACTTGATGCTTCATATCAAGAAATATTAGAATTACATATACAGTTATAGAAATATAAGGTTCTCAATGAAAAAAATGGTACTGTTCTAATAATAAAAAAAAACAAACAAACAAATCAATAAAGATTAAAGGCGAGAAGATTTAATTTTATTCTGTTGATTACGTATCTGTTGTTTATCTGATAAATTTGATCCACGTACAAATACTTTAGGTTGTCCTTTCGATTGTTTTTGTTGTTGCTGTTGTTGTAAAGATGTAAGTTCACTACCTGATAATGCTGATGAAGATGCGTGTTGACGAGTATGATGTATACCATGTGGTCGAGGACCATGGCACTAGAAAATTAAAAGTTTCGCTTTATTTTTTTTGTGAAATTCATATCAATAATTTACATACACCACGTTTAAGTGAAAGAGTTCGAGCTGGTTTCAAACGTGGATTTGATGAAGGAGTATGAACAGAACAAATTTTTACAAAAATACTCATAAAACCAATAAGACCTAATAGACCCAATACAAAAGCCCACCAATATTCCTAAAACAAAAACATTGTTTCTTTTTTTTTCTCTTTAATATGTTTAACATATATAAAAACCTGAGAAAGTTGAGCAATTGTACGAATATTTTCTTCATTAAGTAACATATTTTTCAATCGTGTTAATGGACCTTCAGCATCAACAGCACGACATTTACCAAATACATCACAATAACCAGCT